TTAGGGTTTAGGGTTTTCAGGCTTAGGGTTTAGGGTAGGTTTAGGGGTACCCAGAGAGCCCACTACCCCTTATTTAAGGAATATACCTGGAATACCTTAAATTACAAGGGGCTTCATCTTGTGATTGAAGCTATATTCCCTAATTAAGGGGTATTGGGCTCTCTGGGTACTTCTGACTTGCGAGGTTGGGAAGGATGGATGTGGCGGGCAGGCAACATGTAGCCGCGCTTGGAGGCATTCTTGTATTGGAAGACATGGTCAGGCAGGCTTTCTCAAACGGGAACAGGACCACATTCTTGCAACTTAACCCTAAACCCTAAACCCTAAACCCTAAACCCCAGACCACCAGTGTCCGTCACGGCAGGCGCGGTTTGATGGAAAGGCTCGGGCTACCTAAACAAAAGCCCTCAGCTCATGCTGGGTTTTCCGAGTCGCGAGCTTCTCAGGAGAAATGAGAGACCCAAGCCTAAGTTTACAAATAGAAAAAGGCTTGTTTTACAGGCGGTACCCCGAATCACTCACCGGCCGCAGAGCTTTTGCCTTGGTTGGGACATCGGGCTCCGGCTTTACCGTGCCATCCGTGGGTTCCTGGTGTTGGGTGGAGAGGCTCTGCTGTTTTGGGAACGAGAGCAAGGGTTTTTTCGAAAAAGAGTAGAAAAAGGCGCAGCATCGGGTTTAGGGTTTAGGGTTTAGGGTTTAGGGAAGAGCAGCAACAAGGCTAGCCATGAAGGGCCCTGCAAAAGCATCCCTCTTCAAGGCGGCTCCTTCCGAATCGCGGCGTGGGCATCCCAAGCCGGTCCCTGGAACCGCAACGTTGATATCGAAGAGCGGCTTTAATTTACGGGTACATTATCGTAGAACTAGACGGCAACTAAAAGGGAATACAATTATTTAGGCCTCTTGACTTCCACATTCACGGCCTTCTTAACCCCAATATCCCTGAAGCTTGGGATCCTTCTGCAGCAGGCTTTCACTGGAATTTAGGAGCATTCCTGAATGCCTGGATCATGGAGCTTCTGGTTTAACCCTGAGCCCTGAACCCGAAACCCTAAACCCTAAACCGCAAGGCCGCATAGGAATGAGTCGCAATTTCTTCTGGAGATAAGACTTGCTTTCAGCTTCTCTAACCCAGAGAGCCCATTACCCCTTAGTTAAGAAATATACCTTAAATCATAAGGCGCTTAATATTCTGATTTAAGGTATTCGGCTCTCTGGGAAGAGGTGAAGAAGCTTCAATGCCCCTTGTCGTTTGACCCGAGGTGCTGATGTAGGGGCCTAGAGAATTATCAGTACTATTTCGGAGGCTCCTTATCATAATTAGAGTAGTATGGGCCCCAACACTCTGTGAGGCTATATAACACACTCAAGCTGAGCCCCTTGCACTCCAAGGAAGAGCTCTTAAGCTCCTTCTGGGGTCTTAAACACTAGATAACCCTTCCTTTCAACCCCAAGACCCTGAACCAGCCCCTTCCCCAAAGCCTCACAGCCTTGTATCTTGAAGCCCTCAACCCCAATCCTAAACCCTAAACCCTAAACCCCAATCCTAAACCCCAAACCCTAAAACCCTCTAAACCCTAAACCCTAAACCCCAATCCTAAACCCTAAACCCTGAACCCTGAACCCTAAACCCAAAGCCTTAAACCGAAAGCCCCCGAGCTTCCGCAAGAGCCAAGAAGCAGCGGCCGAAGCCGAGCGCTCCAAGGCCCGCGGTGGCTGCTTGTCTGAGATAGCACTTAAAAGCCGTTTAGGGTTTAGGGTCTAGGGTTTAGGGTTTAGGGTCTAGGGTTTAGGGTTTAGGGTCTAGGGTTTAGGGTCTAGGGTTTAGGGTTTAGGGTTTATGGGACTTAGGTAAGTGAGGTTATAAGTGAGGTTAGAACTGGGATAGCTCCACTTAGTACTACTTAGGGCACACAAAAGGACCCAATTTCTAACCCCAACTTACAAGATATCCCAGGGCCCTGAAGCAGTTCAGAGTTGAGCTCAGGGCTGTGGTTCTTTGCGTATGAAAGGAGCTGCTGAAGGTTTTCAAATCGAGGAGTCTGGTTTAGGGTTTGGGGTTTAGGGGTCTGGTAGTTTAGGGTTCGGATTCCGAAAAGTCCAGTCTGACGTCGGGCCGCTCGACGCGGCATGAGTCTGGCAGTTTAGGGTTTAGGGTTGAGGGCCCGAAACAAGTCCTGGCCACTGACCTGGATCTTTCGGTGAGAGGTTTTGCGGAAGGGGGCATAAGATCATAGGGCTACCTGGTCCGAAAACCATAGGCTCAAATGCGCAAGATTCACCTGCCGAAGTTTTCGTTGATCTAGGAACCTTTGACCCCGAAGCCTTTGAACACTCGTGCCTAAGCCAAGCCCTTTCCACAGATGACTTTGGCTAGGTGGGCGGTTCTCTAAATCAGGGTCCCTCTTTAGGTCCCAAAATAGTACGGCGGCCTTATAAAAAAAAAAGGGCCATTTTTCAGGGACCCCTATTTAGAGACCAGGTCGAGCTGGACGACGAAGACCAGGTCATCGAAACGTGCATTCCGTACGAGGAGGCCGGGTGCCATGGTTCAGAATTTATCGCCGCAGAGAGATTAGAGTTGAAGGAAGAGGGTTTAGGCGGGATGGGTAGCAGAGCTAGCCCGCAACAAAGAAGTAAGGGTGAGTTAGAGTCAGTTAGATTTTGTCAGCTAGATTCTGGCGTCCTTTCTGCAAGCTGCACGACAGCCATACATGCAAGATTTGCAGAGAAGCATCACATGAGCTCCTGCACGACCTGTCTTGAAATCCACTCTGCACAACATGTTTGATCTTAGTACAGTACGTTCTCAAGCGAACAAACTTGTGGAAGTCGAGCAGCCCAGTCCTGTGAACCATGAGTGCTGCTGCACTGTGGACAAAGCTCCAGCTATCGCAGGCATTCTTCGGCTACATGCCGAAGTCGCAGCCCAGTAACTCGGCTGTTCGTTTCTGACCGCTGCAAAGTCCCCGAGAAGCCCTAAACCCTAAACCCTAAACCCCCCTAAACCCTAAACCCTAAAGCCTAGGAACAGCCCCTCAACTGTGCTGCAAGCACACTCCACTCTCCATACCTCAACCCTAAACCTTAACCCACCAGAACCCATATTTTTGTAGGGTCCCTATAACTCCCATATTCGGGTTTAGAATAAGAACCTACCAAAAAAAGTGGGTTTTGGGTGGTTAAGGTAAACCCTAAACCCTAAACCCTAAACCCTGCTATTGCCAGACCAAGGCGCGCTGGACGCAGAGTGGCAGGGGCCCGCGACGGAGGAGGCTGCACCCTGGTTTAGGGTTTAGGGCTTTGGGCTTAGGGTTTAGGGTTTAGGGTTTAGGGTTCACCATCACTTCATGGAACTTTGCTCCCTGGTTTAGGGATTCTCGGATGCCGATTTTGGCCGAAGACGAAGAGCAAATGCAAACTCGAACTCTTGACTAGATCGAGGCTCAAGGCGATTCCAGTCAAGTTTAGGGTTTAGGGTTTAGGGTTTAGGGTTTGTTGTTCTTGCTCGCTTCTTTCGTTCATTGTTGCAGTCCTCAGAGTAGAGTGATGCATCACCGGAAATCGCTGTCCACGGTCGCAGACCCACCATACGCATACCAAAGAAGACTGAGATATTTGGTATGTTCGAGGTAGGGCGATTCTGTGGGTTGATTAACAGACTTGGCGAAGTTTGCAAGATCGCTCATGCGCAAGCACAGCTACATCAATATCGGGGCCTAAGTAATTACCTGTACTATGTTGGGGGTTCCTTATTATGATTATAGCATAATGGGCCCCAAGACCCTATTCTAATTATCAAGGCCCCTATATGAAACAGTTTTGGGACCTCACAGACCAGGCTACCTTTTGTTTGCGGTAGGGTTCCCCGACCGCGTGTCGCCCAAGCTGGTTCAACGCCCATCTTAGTCTTAGCTCTTGGAAGCTACAATCCTGAACCCTACATACCCAATCCAGGCGTTTCTGAGCTTCTCTCACCGAGTCCCGAGTCCGGACCCTAACAACTGAATGCCGAAACCCTAAACCCTAAACCCCTAAACCCTTGGCCCTTAACCCTAAACCCTAAACCCTGCACTGGAGGAAGCTGCAGCCGTGGCCGCCCCAGCCAGTGAGCTGCCCGAGGACAGCAAGATCGGACATGAAACCGAGTGTAGTGCTTGGCAAGGTGGTCGAGCTTTTGATGGCTGACAACGAAGACCATGGAGTCGGAATTGATGATGATGATGTTGATGATGATGGTGATGAGGATGACGATGACGATGACGATGACGATGACGATGACGATGGTGATGGTGATGGTGATGGTGCTGGTGCTGGTGCTGGTGATGGTGATGGTGATGGTGATGATGATGTTGATGAAGAAGAAGATGATGATGTTGATGATGATGGTGATGGTGATGATGATGGTGATGCTGCTGATGATGGTGACGACAACGAATGATGGTGGCGTGATAATGAGCCAGCCCCCCATCTTAAGTGAAGCTCCCGCATTTCTTCAAAGGTTTTTTTGGGAAGTCAGCTTTGCATTTCATGTGCTGGAGACCATTGCGGGTTCAGGCTTTCGAAGTTTTCAGCTCCAATTTTGGGTTTAGGGAACTCACAGGCGTTCTCCCTTTCCTCCTCGCCTCGCCCCTTCACCTCCAGCCGAATACCAGGTATGGGCAACCCAGGCTACATACTTGGGCCGAGACATGCTTTAAGATCAACTCGGGCACAGTTGGAACTGAGTTTGGAATTTCATCAGGCTTTTTGGGGTTTAGGGTTTAGGGTTTTAGGGTTTAGGGTTTTGGGTTCTGGGTTTCGCATCACGGAACTGGACTTATAGATGTTTGCTGCTGGGTTTTGAAGCTCGGTCATCGTGGATGCGGAGCTTTCTTTGAGCCCACACTTAACCCTCTACCCCCCCCAACCCTGGGCCCAAAACGCCTACACCGTAAACCCCCAAAGCCAAGAACCCGAGCAGTAACCCCCTGAATCCCCCATAAAGCACTTCTTTACCCCTTGTCAAACCCTACCCTGAGAAAACAAGCCCTCAACCAGTCTTGCCGGGTGCAGGAGCCGCCTGCGGAGCTAACGCCGGCCGCTGACTCTGAAGTGACCCATCAGAGAGCGGTGGAGGGCCGAGGGTTTAGGCTTTAGGGTTTAGGGTTTAGGGTTTGGGGTTTAGGGTTTAGGGTTTGGGGTTTAGGGTTTAGGGTTTAGGGTTAAGGGATTGGGGTCTTCAGGACCCCTGGAATAGGAATCTTGTCGCTTACAGGGTTCAGAGGGTAGGCTGAAGATGGTAGTAGGCAGAGCAGCAACTGAAGCAGTAGTAGTTTGAGCACTTGTAGAAAAGAGCAGTAGAGCAGGGTATTCCGGCAGTATTTCTCCTGCTCTTGAACAGCGACTACGACGACGGCTTATTTCTATAACTACTGCTGCTACCGCTGCTGTTGCTACTGCTAGTATTGCTACAATCGCGACTGCCGCTACTACTGCTACTGCCACGGCAACCAAGCGCCTCAGATACTGCTGCTGCCACGAAAGCTTTGAACTGTGGAAGGGGATCGCCAATATAGGGGCCTAAATAATTACCAATACTTTCTTGGGGGGTCTCTTATTATAACCATAGTAGCATATATCCCAAAACCCTATTCTAACTATTATGGCCCCTAGATTACCTCCACCCAGGCCGCTGCAGTGCCGGCAGCGCCACAACCGCTGGCACCATCGTCGCCACTGCAAGCAGAAGATCCTGCACCTCAAGACGAGGAGCAGGCGCCCTTGAGTTTAACTTAAGTTGGCGTCAAGGGTTGCTTGAAACCTTAAGTCCAAGTTACCCTAAACCCTAAACCCTGGTCCTAGTTACGGTTTTGAGGGTTCAGGGCCCAGAGTTTCTGATTCGGAGTTTTTCTTTGGGGTTTAGCGTTTGCGCTTGGAGTGTACCTAGAGTCTCCATTGTAGTTCCTTTTTTGGTTTAACCGATGCTATGTTAAGGATTTTTATTGGTTAACCCCACAAAGGAACTACAATGGAGACTCTAGGTGTGGTTCAAGGAGTTGGGGTATCAAAGGTGTCAACGAATCTCTCGTCCTCTGTGTAGTTTCAGAGCTTGCTTCAGAGCCTTCGCCGGATTCGTTCCGCAGCCAGTTTCTTTCAGGCTCAGAGATTTCAAAGGCAATCCAGCCAAAGATTTGTTCAAAGCCTGGTCTTCATCATGTCAGTGATGGTTAAGGTAAGCCTCATCAGTGGCAGGACTGTGTCGCTGGAGGCGCACGGCGACGATTTGGTGGAGTCCGTCCGGGTGCGTGCACAGACAGCTTTGGGAGTTGGGGAAGGCCGACTCGTGGATTCCGCTGGAAA